AATGTTTTTTAACCCTTTTACAAAAAGCTAATAATTATGATTATTTTTACATTTTTAAACTTTAGTTTATTTTTTTTGAAGTATTGAAAGTAAAATGAATATAATACATATGATATATGTATACATTTTATATTTAATTAATTTAATTACAATAAAGAAAAAAATAATTTGAGTCATTTGAAATGTATTTTTGTAATTAAATATTTTTTTAATGTAAAATTGAAATAAAATCATTTTAACTTATTTACAGCTTTAAAAAGGCACATTTTTAATATAAAAAACATTACAAATGTATTTTATAATTAAGAAAATGTATTATTCAAGACATTTATAACACATTTATTTTCTACTGTGTATAGATTTCTTTTTACTATTTCTTTTAAAAATATAACTTAAACTTTAATTTAATATAATAGAAAAAAATATAATATATTGTTATTTTATATTTAAATGTATTAATATCACATATAACAAAATAGATTCATTAAAATAGATAAAGTAATCTAAATAGGTTAGAAGCTAAATAAAATAATCATGAATTTGGAAAAAATACAATAAATGAAAAGTAAAAACAAGTCTAATAAATGTATATTTAATAAAGAATTATAATTAAGAATATAGCCTATGGAAGAGTATTAGGGCCAAGCGATAATAAAAAAATAAAACTATCTCGAGATTAAAGTCATTATAATGCGAAATTAAACTTGTTACGTTTCGAGAAAAAAAGGTCGAAATACAATCTTGAGAATAAACTCGTTAAATATCAAGAATAAAGTTGTGTTTTGAGAAAAAAACTTGTTAAATTTAGAGAAAAAGATCTAAATGCAATCTTGAGAATAAACTCTAAATATCGAGAATAAAGTCGTGTTTCGAGAAAAAAACTTGTTAAATTGAGAAAAAAAGTCTAAATGCAATCTTGAGAATAAAGTCGTGTTTCGAGAAAAAACGTGTTAAATTTTGAGAAAAAAGTCGAAATACAATCTTGAGAATAAACTCTAAATATCGAGAATAAAATCGTGTTTCGAGAAAAAAGTCGAAATACAATCTTGAGAATAAACTCTCTAAATATCGAGAATAAAGTCATGTTTCAAGAAAAAACGTCGAGAAAAAGTCGAGAAAAAAGTCGAAATACAATCTCTACAATCAAAGTCGTGTTTATTCTCGAAATTTAATGAGTTTATCTCATGATAATTTCAACTTTTTTTTCAGAAATTTAACGAGTTTTTTTTTCTCGAAACACGTTTATTCTCAAGATTGTATTTCGACTTTTTCGAAGTTTAATTTCGCATTATAATGACTTTAATCTCGAGATGGTTTTGTTTTTATTATCGCTTGGCCCTAATCCTCTTCTGCAATAGCCTGTTTGTATCATTTGAATGCATTTAACATTATATTTGATATCTATAAATGTAAAGTTTTCTTAATATCCGTCTTTTTCTCTGTCTCAGCCGTCAGTATTAAAGGTGTTGTTGACGGCTGATCTTCCAGTTTTCAGACACACAGACACTGTCGACGAGGCGCTGCAGCTTCTGAACGGTATCATTCACTATGACCAACAATTCTAACAACCAATCACAGACCGATTGAACTGATCATGTATCTGCACCTGCATACCTCAAACCTCGGATGATTGGTCACATAAAATACTTTGCACACACTTTTGACCAATCAGCACTCAGGAAGAGAGACTTTGATGAAAACTGTTGGGAGCAGTTACGTCATGTTTGTGTTCATTTCAATTTTTTGCACTCAAAATTATGTTACAACTTTCTTTTGTTGTTGTTGTTTTGTTTTAAACTATGAATCACATGTATAATACTTTGTAATTTTATGAACTTGCACTTATTCTAAACACTAGAAAGAATCAAATATTCAGTGCTTATGGATAAAAAGCACCACACAAAAAAGGTGAGGCTCCAAAAATATACTCTAACATCTCTTTCTCTGCAGTTTATAGTACTTGATGCTTATTAATAAGAATGTTTACAATGGGTTTTAAGTTTACATTTAATTTCTTGATGAAACTAAATCTCCTTTAGGACTCTTTTATACTGACCCAGAGGAAACACACATTAACACTGCAGAATCACTCAAATGTCTCTTTTGATATTAAACTGACATGATCTGCTATGGCTATGCTTGAAATATGTTCATTAATTGTTTATATGTATATGAATATATAAAAATGTCTGAATTATTATATTCAAATGGATAACAGATGATAGATAGACAGATAACAGACAGATGGATAGATATTTAGACTATTTTAATTATATATATATATATATATATATATATATAATAGCAACAAAAATTTTTATATACCTATTTATATATGTATATTTTTTTCATATATATATATATATATATATATATATATAGCAACATAAATATATTTGTATATTACCTATTATTATATAATTATATTTTTTTTTACACAAAAAATATATCTATTTGATACATTTTATTTTTATAACTAATGTCAAATTATATACAGTATATATATATATATATATATATATATATATATATACACACTTTAAATAATATTAATATAGCCCATATTAAACTTAACTGTTATTATTAATTATATAAAAATATGTATGTGTAAAGGTATGTGGTGTGTGTGCATCTCTCTAGAGATGCCAAACCACTCTCTTTAGAATTTTTTTAATTGTTTACATTTTGTACACACACATATACAGTATTTTATATATACAGCGGTTGGCACAAACTAAAATGAAACACACCAGGTGGTTTGCCACCTAGCTGGCTTCATGCCTATAGGCCCCTGGTATAAAATCACCCTCTTATGCTAATTTTCCAACAGTAGAGAGCGATATTTTACTTCTGAAGTGTACTTACCAGTATATTACAGGCCCAGTAAACTGGGAATGGTGGTTCTTCAGATCAGTCTGGTTTGTAATGGTGTTGTTAACATAATCAGTCAATAATGTCCTGACATTACCAGCAAAAGCATCTTTATCAGTTCATTCAAAGGAAACTATTTCCCTTGGGCCTATTTCTAACCACATTATTTTTTTCAGTGCCACTGAAACATGTGGTCTTAGACCTTACTACGAATAAAAGACACAGGAATCACTCCCTGATAATGACAATGAGCATTTCTGGCACCTTTAACAAACACAAAACGCGTTCACAAACCAAGTGTAAGCCATTATTTTCTACTTTAATAGTCTTTGTGGCTGTAACGTTACGTGTGTCTCTTCAGTCTATGGTCTCTTCTCGGCCATAAAACTGACTCACAGCGGTACACACCTGTTGATAAGTTAATAAACCATGAATAAACGCTGTTTTGTAAGTTAACAGTCAGTCTTACCTGAAACTTACCTTGAGCAAACAGTCGTCACACTAGTAGCAGCTAAACACATCTTCGGGGAGTCGCAGTCGTAGGTATGTCGTATTTATTTTCATCGATAGACTTATTTATCATATTTAGTGGCGTCAAACGCCCTCGGCGACTGGGATTTTGTGCCGTGATCACGAGTGCTGTGTGTTTTGGGTGTTAATACTGGGCTAGCGTCACGTCTTCACACGCGGACTCGAGCATGACGTGCTCTGCGCGTCCCCGTCCGTGGCTCTGCTGTAAACTGTAATTGCTGAGAGTCTAATCTCACTCCCCTGGATTCTCGATAGGTTGCAAATTTGGAGTGCCAAATATAGCAGGGCTGTGTGCTGAATCTGAAGCCGAACTGTGAACCTTTCACACCAGGCTGAAGGATCACATGAGAGAAGCTGACTTGGAATGAATAGGCCTAAATCTTATCTAAACCAAGGTCATTTTACACTGTTCTGATCTAAAACGTGACACTTTTCTAAATTGGATAATTATTTTTTGGGGCCATAATAATCAGTATTAAGGTTTTTTATGTGAATTTAGACTTGATATGGTTGTAAACACTGTAAAAAAAATATTTTCATGATTTATCACGTTTGTCTTTTGTTAAATCAACTTGGATAGCTAATGGGATTCAGAAATAATATTCTGAATCCCATTCATAATATAATATATTTAGAATAGTTTGTATTATTTAGAATAGTTTGTATTCATTAAACCAATCTCCATTGTATTAACTCAATTTTTTATTTCAATGAACTCCAAATTTTAAGGCAACCATGTAATTTACTTTTTTAAACCAACAATAATGATTTTCCATAGTATCTTTTTGTAAAATATCTTAGACCCACACTCAATTTTTGTGACTTTTTTTATTCCAGATTATTATAAATAAAATAAAACAAAACTAATTCAAAGCTTTATTAGGTTTTAACATTCTGTTTTTATGTCATTGTATGCATTTTATTTTATTGACATTAAGATTTACATAATGAGTATGTTATAAGTTTTCAATAAACCTACTGCAATTTCTATATTTAAATATCATAAAAAGGTTCATTTAAATATACTGATTACAGACTAAAATTGTATTTCTATATAATATTTTTAGAATAAATAGGCCTATATTTAATATTTTACTTAATTTTTATTTTTTAATATTAGATTTGATATGGCTCCAAATATTCAAGCAAAAATATTTCAGACCCCAACATATACAGTTACTTAATAGTTTATATATATATATATATATATATATATATATATAATTCTGTCTGTCCTTGATTGACTTTGCATACAATTACTATTTTTTTATTTTATTGATATCGATGTTTGCATACAACGCTTAAAATTACACTTTATACGTTTATTAAATGATTGAAGGCTAGTAAAACCAATAAAGGAGAGTCAATAAAATAACAAATATTTTTTTCATCACTGTTTCAATGACGCCAAGGCACCTATCTCACCTTTAGCGCAACTATCGTCACTGTCATGTGACGTCCAGTAGAGGGCGTCGCGTCTCAAGGGCGGGGATTGAACGTTCCCTTCGCTCCCTCTGATTGGCCTGTTGGAGTAGGGCGGGACCTTTTCGGGGTATATCGCCCTCTGATTGGCCAGGCGGATCTAGAGTGACTGAGGCGCAGAGGCAGCGGAGAATCACAGCAGCACAAACCCACTGCGCTCATGGCATCAAGGAGAATGGAGACCAAACCAGTCATAACCTGCCTCAAAACGCTCCTCATCGTCTATTCCTTCGTGTTTTGGGTGAGTGACCCTCATTCATTAGCGTTTTTCAGCGTTTAGTAGTTCTGCAGCGTGTTATGAAGCATTTGAAAGGATTTATTACCATAATAAGGCGTTTGTTGCATTATTGCGCCACTGAAATCAAGTGCATCTCCATCATGGCAGGGCTGGACCCCACTGAGGCCATTTAGAAACACAAATATGATTATTATGTATATATCAATAATTCTGTTCAAGAATAAGATACACAATCTTCTATTTTGATGCCAGTGATGAAAAACAATGTATAAACGCTTGCTTTATTCCGTTTTTAAGACGAAAAACGAGACGTGCATGATGATTTTGGACGTTATTCATTCATATTGAATTAATATTAATGTTTAAATATGGACAGCAGAACATTATTCTTTATGAACTGAATATTAATGCCCAAACACACACAGCATTCTGAATTATTAAATGACTATTAATGTTCAAATATGACCATATCATGTACGTTATTCATTATAATTGTAATATTTATGCCCAAATATGGTCATAAGCTGAATATGATTGATCATGAATTAAATTTTAATGATCATTTTAAATAATTAATTGAATATTAATGTCCAAATGTGTGCATCTTCTAGACAGTTAACAGGTTTATTAGGGTTGCAGTCACCTTCCTCTCTCTGTCATAAGAGTATGAAGCAAACCTCAGCCTCCTCATCCTCATGGATGAACATGATGCTTTCTGTCTGTGAGTAGCGGTTAACTGTTGCATCATGGCACCGCCCCGTATTGATGTGTGTTTGATGACTGATCCAACCACCATTCAGTTTGATTCCAGTATATTATCAGCGTTAGCCTACATAACTTATTAGTTATTATTAACAAACATTGTTGCGTATAAGAACATAGTTTAAGATATATACATGAAGTCTGCTTAATCTGGCCAAAAAACATACATTTAGAAAAGAAAGAGACTGACATGTGAAGCGATCAACCAGAGTTTTGTTTAGTTTTTTTCGTAACGAAACGAATCTGAAATACTTGATTAAAAATAATACATTGTTAATAGACTAACTTGCTAGCAATCCTGGAAAATCCTGTGAAATGTAAACAGACTAAGGCTGGGACTAGAAACTTTTGATTTATATTTAAATTTATATGAATTTTAGTGTAGGTTGGGTCTGTAAAGCGTTACATGTTTGCTAATGACTAATGCAAGATATTCTAAAGCGTTTTCGTAATAGTTTTGTAGCCTGAAGAAATTATTCGTTAAGAATTAGATAAATGTTCTACGACACCATTTTATCACTCATTATTGTTAAAAAATTTTGAAAAATTGGCCAAATAATTGAGCAGATGCCCCATTTGATGCGATTTACACTGTAAAAAAATATTTTCAAGATTTGTTATCACAACATTTTTTCTTTTGTCAAATCAACTTAAATAATTGATTTAGTTGAGATAACTTATTATTTTGAGTTTCTGATGATTAAATCAATCTCCTTCATTGTATTAACTCACTTTTTCCATTTTAAGGCAACCAGGTTACTTCATTTTTTAAGTTAAACCAACAATATTTTTTTACAATGAATAATGAATTACGCAAAATTGACATGATTCATTCATTTGCAAACCAACTGGACATCAGATGCCACTATAAAAGTTATGTGGCGTGTTAAAAAACAACAACAACCAAATATTCAAGAAATGTGAACGTTTGGGAATTGAACAACTGATCTGAATATATTTAATGATTAATTTAGCTGAATTTTGCAGAAACTGATTGTCATTCTTTGAATCTGTCTTTTGCGATATGTCCAAGTTCTTAAAGGTACAGTTCACCCAAAAATGAAAATTCTGTTATAATTTTCTCACCCTCAAGTTGTTCCAAAAGTTCTTTCTTTTGCTGAACACAAAATAAGATATTTTGAAGAATGTGGATAACCAGACAGTGGTCAACAGACATTTTTCCTACTATGAAAGTCAATGCTATCAACTTTCTTTGAAATATCTTCTTTTTAGTTAAAAACTCATACAGGTTTGAAACAACATTTTTGGGTGGACTATCCCTTTAAAATCCACATTTAATGGCGACTCTCATGTATTCAGACAATAATGATGCATGATGGGAAATTGTTTTAAATGGACACAGGGCACATCTGATTGTACCTGTATTGCACTGAAGCTGTGTTTCCTCAGATCTCATATAGGTCAACAACACTGAGTTTGTGTTAGTAGGTAACCGTCTCCATCACATTCCCGTCTGTGCTCACTGGAGCTTGAGTAATGCCGTGTGGCGCATTCGCCACTGTTTAGCTCTCTTTCAGTCTGTAATCCCACTCGGCACAGTGATGAGAGTGCCTGACCCAAATCCAGGCCATGTGTGGACCGTAACGCAGCGTAATTCCACTGTAGACCTCTGATAGACTGCACATTTAATCAAGAATCAAACTGATTGGGGTGAATTCGCATAACAAATCAGCACTTTCGCTAGTGTCATTTACCAATCGACTCAAAATCCAGTCTATCTCTGTGGTAAAGGCACTAAAATAGCGTATTGTTTTTAAGTAATTAAGCAATGTTTCAATCCCTAACTAAAAATTGGAATATCACATAAAACATTTGCGAATCAAGCAAGCACCATTTCCATCCAAGAGAACAAAATCGTAACTTGCTGAGAAAATTGGCGCAAAATATCTGTAATAAAAATGGAAGTTGCGGCAATCAGGGAAGAAACGCTGGCTCTTTCTTCCTACATCATACATGACTTGTAAACGCTGTTATGTTGTCTTTGTTATGTATGTTTGAGAATGCAATCATGTGCAACATTTCTGGGAGGTTATTATACCAAACCATTTTGATGACAAACATTGGCTGAGGCATTTCAGAGCGACCAAACCAACATTTAGGATGCCGTGGGATGTGATTGGTCCGCTGGTTAGTCCAATAATCCTATCAAATCCTGAGATTTAGTTGTGCATTGAGGGATTTATTTGGTAAATGTGTTACCATTGCAGTTTATATGCACGTTTTCTTATCGGATTAAAAATTATCCACCACAGTTGAGCATATAGACGTTTTTTTAATGTGCATTTTTAAAGGGATAGTTCACTTTGAAATTAATTTTTGGTATGTTTTAGCTTACCTCAAGGGCATCCAAGATGTAGGTGTCTTTGTTTCCGCAGTATTTTCAATTTTGATATTTTTTAGATCAAACCGTTCTTGTCTGTCAGTCATATAATGGAGGTCTATGGTCACCACCTCAAAGAGCATGCACAGAGAAGTCCAAATTAAACATGATTTAATGACTCGTAAATGTAAGTACACATTGATGGCCTAAGACATGAAACGAGCGGTTTGTGTGAGAAAACGAACAGTATTTATATCGTTTTTACCTCTTGTAATCACAGTCACGTCCAAGTGATCTGAGGGCGCAGACGCTTTACAAGAGGTAAAAACGATATAAATACTGTTCGTTTTCTCACACAAACTGCTCGTTTCATGTCTTAGGCCATCAATGTGTACTTACATTTACGAGTCATTAAATCATGTTTAATTTGGACTTCTCTGTGCATGCTCTTTGAGGTGGTGACCATAGACCTCCATTATAAAGCGAATTTGATAGAAAATTAATTTTCTGACAGAAAAAAATGATTTATTTGACATACTTTTATCCAAAGCAACTTGTAGTTCATTTAATGTGTTCATTTTATCAGCATTTGTTTTCATTCTTTCAAATATTGTTAACGTGGAGTAGTACTATAGTTATGGACATTATGCCATTTATAAGGACTCTTTTAAATAGTTTCTGCCCAATAAACAACACCAAACTGAATTGTGGGCTTGCAGAACAGCTAAGCACAAGTTAGAAATGAGCTTTGAAACTGAACGAGCAAGCGAACGGGGGAGTAACTGAAGCAACATGTGAAGAGAGAGGCAGAAATTAGATCGAGAGCGAGTGAGTGACAAATGAGTCAGTGTCATTTCTCCGGTCTTCCTGTCAGCTGTTCTGGGCCTGTTGGGGTCATTCTGTTCGATGAACGCAGACAGACGGAGCTCTGTGTGTCCTGCTGTCGACCCTCGAAACACATTCACACCCTCTGTTCTCCCAGAGGCAGATGGGAACAGGCCTACAGGACTGGGAAAAGACAGATGACGCATCGCCTGTTGCTTTGAACGAAACAACCAGTGTGTTTCACACCCGTCTGGTTTAGATTTTATTCCACATGTTAACATGCCTCTATTTGAGGAGATAATCTTACACCTTCAGTTAAACACACTCAAGCAACACGTTTCCAGTGACTAGGCATTTTTCTGTCCTCGCTGAAAGCAAAAATGCTGTAAAGTGACACAGCTAATCATAATGGTGCGTTCACGTCATGTTGGAATTAACTTAATTACTAGCATCTGACTTGTAAGCCAATCTCATAATTACAAGTTAAAACGCTGTAAATGAGAAAATGTTGTTTTAACTTGTAAAATAAGTGTTCATACTGCATTAAAATGTTAAGTTTAGCCAACTCAAATAACTTAACTTAGTATAATTTCACTTGACTAAACTTGCGAGCATTTTCAAGTTGAAACAACTAATTTTTTACCGGGAAAGTCTAGGCATCACATGGCTTCGGCTTCAGCAGTTAACGGTAGTCATTTGGCTAACTCTACGTACAGTATTTCTGTTAAATATGCCGTTTCTTCATAGCCAATGTTATGTGGTGTGTTTTCTTGGTATAATTAATATGTGGAGTTGGAATCAGGACCAACGTGATTTTGGTTACACTTTATGTTAAGGTGTCAATATTACAGTGTAATTTTACATTTAAGTACTGAGTAATAATAATTAGCTACATGTACTTAGGGTTAGGGTTAGGACTGGGGTTTGGTTTAGGGTTTATTACATGTAATTATACATAATGTATAGGTATTACTAGTAACGACATGTTACGTGTAACAATGACACTGTTAAAATAAAATGTTAAGGCCTGTTCACACTGGGACGAATTTTGTGCGATTTATTCGCCGACGTTTAA